CCGGCCCACTCGCCGGCAGCCAATGAGAGCTGTCAGGGCGCCTCCACCGGAGGCTTTGGGGGCGGAGCCGCGGGAGCCCGTGGGAAACCACGCTCCGATTGGTCTGCCTGACAATCGCTCCGCCTCCGGTCAGCCAATCAGAGGCGAAGGACACGGGAGCGGGGCGTTCGGAGTTGGGCTGGAGAGTCACAACAGCCGCACGCTGGGTACCCGCACTGCATCCCGGCCCGCGTCCGCGGCTAGGAGGTTGCTGGCTCCGCGTGCTCCGCAGTGTGCTGTCGGGGCTCCGGCGGCGCGGCCTCGGAAGACGTCAGGAGGCCGCGGAAAGGCGAGGGAGCCCCTAACAAAGCAGCGTGGGGAGGGCTGAGCGGCCTCCGCCTCCTCCTGCCATAGGTCGGCGAAGCTGCCTGTCACCCTTCCGAGGCAGAGGTGGCCAATGACGTGCGCTGCGGGAGCTCGAGTTGGCGCGCGCGCGGCTCGGCGTGGGCGTGATTGGTCGTAGGTAAAGGGTTTTTCTGCCTCCTAAGGCGGAGGGGAAGTGGGAACTGAACGGGGGAGGCGAGGAGCCAAAAGTCTTCGTACCTGCCGCACGTGGTCTGTGCGGCTGGCTCGAGGGGGACATTGGAAATTTTAGGAGAGGAAAAACGAAAAGCCTAACGCAGTCCCTTGGCCTGAACGCCCAGGATGTTAGACAGGGTCCACACGGGGAACCCGGGGCCTTTTCCCGAGTGAGTCCCCGGGATCCTGGCTCTCCCTTGCCCAGCGAGCCCACCTGCATCTCGGTGAGGGTTTGGGCCTCGCGCACACCTGCCGGTTGCCTCTGCGAACCCCGGACGATGTTGGCTGCAGTCCCTAACCTGTGGCCAGGTAAACCTCCCTACACCAGGCCTTCGCCCTGAGTAAGAGCGCTAGACTTCACGGGCAACGACAGAGCTCTGCTGGGTGAGGAAGGTGCTTTCCCCCAGAACGCTTGGGGGTTCGCCCTGTGGGTTATTTAGTTAAAAGGTAATAGGAGCCCCAGGTTATTTTGTTAAAAAGTAATAGGCGCCGTAAAAGGAATTGTCTGGGCCTTGGCAGGTAAACCTAAAATGGAAAACATCACCCTTTATTTATTCCTCCTCCAACCCTCTGCTGTTACTTCCCATATCCATCCCTCCACACCTCCTCTTTCATCAAAGACACCCCATGGTCTTTCTGCCCCGGGCCTGGCCTCCCGAAATCTGTGGTCCATTTTGTAAAAACGATCCTCTACAGGAAAAACAAAATTTTTTTTTTTAATCTCTTGCTCTCTATTCTATGCCTCTCCTCTTTTCCCACAGACTCACAGAGCCGAACCCCTCCCTGGCCCAGGTCTTCAGATCTCAGCGTGGTTGGCCCGCGCACTTGCACCCTGGGGAGCCTGCTGTCCCCCTCCCTCTGTGCCTCCGGTGTTACAGGGAGCTGAAGCTGCAAGTTCACCCCGTTCTGCTCCAGCGCTGCGCGCCTCAGCTAGAATCTTATCTCCACTGCCATATCTGAGTACTCGGCACATTTTGCTCCAAACGCTTCAAAATATTTAAAGGATTACAGAGGAGCTAAGTTGCATACCAGAGCTTTAGAGATTTGCAGTGCTGCTGGACTCTGTGGCCCATGCCAGTAACCCCAGCTCCTTGGAAAGCTGAGGCTGGAGGGATTGCAAGATCCCGACTAGCCTAGGGAGACCCTGTCTAAAAATATAAATAGCTGAGGTTGTAGTTCAGGGCTACAGCACCCTGGGTTCAATACCCAGTACAAACAACCACTAAAAGATTTGAAGTGACTCTAAGCGGTCAGTTAAAGGAGAATGTTTAGGGTAATAGCTGTCAGTGTCATTTGTTGACTTGGTTCCAGGACAGGTGTCCCAAGGGCCTTTCTGGGTCAAATTCCAGAGCTTTTTCAGAAGACACCCCTACCAAAACCAGCTTTGCCTCATCCAGTATCCTGCACACGCTTCTCAGTGAAGAATCATTCCTTCATGAAGCTCTTCACAAAGAGGAAAGAGCAATTTCTTGGCCTGTTGTGAGCCCACATCTTGGAAAAGTGTGTGTGTGTGTTTGGGTGAGAACACATTAATAAGTACATTTGGAAATGAGTGGAGGGTTTTGACTTGTTTTGGGGATTGAACCAAAGCCTCTGAGCTACATCCCCAGCCTTTTTAAATTTTATTTTGAGAGAGGATCTCGCTAAGTTGCCCAAGCTGCCTTCAAATTTATAGTCCTCCTGCCTCAGCCTCACAGAGTGCTGGAGTTACAGGCATGAGCCACCACACCCAGCTAAACAGCTTTTCAAGGGTGTTCAGAAGCGCATTTGGCAATGCTTAAATGCACACTCTGGAGCCAGGGTGTCTGACACTCAAGCCCTGTGACTTTCAAACTAATTCAGGATGAATCGCTACAGACTTTCATGCCTCAGTTTGCCCATCTGTATAACTGAGAGGATAATAACAGTGACCACCACACGGGCTTGGTATGAGGATAAGGAGTTAGTATGACCATTGTGCTTAGCACATGGTAGCAGTAAATAATGTTTGCTAGGCTCATAAACATCTTGCATACAGACGTGCAAATGCAGCTTAAGGGAGGCTTTTCTAGGAGAAACATCCATTCGGCTTCCTCATCTGCAACTGGCAGTGTGAAAACTCAGAAAGATTGTACTGAACATGCGCAGATGCATTTCTCCTCGTTTCCTGACCAGTGCTACTGTTTGAACAGTGTTTACATTGCACTGTCAAGAGCACTGTAGCGAAGCACAGGGTGGATGTGCCGAGGTTACAGACAAACACTGTGCCCTATGAAAAGAGATTTAAACTGGGCCCAGTGGTGCTTGCCTGTAATCACTCCCAGCACTGACAGAGGATGAGACAGGAGGATCCCAAGTCTGACCCCAGCCTGAGCAACTGAGCAAGTCTTTTGACTAAAAATTTTTAAAAAGGGGCCCAGGATGTAGCTCAATGAAAAAGACCCTGCGTCCAACCCCCAGTACTTCAAAAAACGAAACATGAAAAGCAGTTGATAGACAATAAATGGCTCATCCCACTACGGGGACAGCCATACCGCGCCCACACCAGGCAGCTGATTTTCAGAATTCAAGCTGCACAACCTAGCAGCTGTGTAGCCTTGAGCAGATTACTCATCTCTCTCGAGCCTAATTCTTGTCCTCTAAAACAGGCATGAGAACACCTAACCTGTACAGATGCCAGGAGAATTAAGCAGAGGTCACACGCAGCTCAGAGTAGGAACTCGTAAGTGTCAGCTGTTAACTAAATTAGGCCGGTTCCCTAATCACATTTGCGTCATCTTTAAAAACAAGATATTACCCAGCACTCTGGCGGCTGAGGCAGGAGGATCGCTGCAAGTTCGAGACCAGCCTGGGCTACACAGTGAGTTCCAGACCAGTCTGAACTACATAGTGAGACCCTATCTCAAAATACATAAATAAAATAAAAACAAGATATTAACATCTCTGTCCATGGTCGAGGTAGCTGGGAAAGGGAGAAGGGGACGAGAGTCGTTTTCCCGCTCCCTCCTTCACTCCCCTGCACCCCACCTGCCAGGACTCTGCTGTCTGCTTTGTTCCCCCAGGTGCGAAGTGGCCACTAGGGTGGACAGTGTGAAGCCGATCTGCGTCTGTCCTACGACCTCGCAGACCCTCGGGGCTGCCCCTCGCCTCCAACCTGCGTTTTGTGTCGCTGCTCCCCACTGCAGCAGAGAACAGGGCATTTGGATCAGAAACAGACAAGCGCCATCTGGCAGAGTGTCCTGCCACCTCGTCTCCCGAGGGCACTGTTGACATCTAAAAAGAACGGGAAGCTGACATTAAGGGAAAAGATAGAGCGATCAAAGGCAGAATTCAGGGTTTCGGCAAGAGAGGAGCAAAAGTTCCCTGTCTAGTGCGTGACTCAAGCTTCCACCAGAAGTGAACGACTTCTTCCGCATAGTTTACCAGAGGTCTCGCCAGTGTCAGTGGCCTTCCCCAGTGTGGGGACACCAGGATGAGGCAACCCGGGCACCTTGCCTGCCCTCCAGGCCTGAGCTGCTCTTGCTTGAGGCTGCTCCCTGATTCCCTGCTGTACCTGGGGGTCTGGGGCGGCACCTGGCACACATAAATGCTCGGTGGATGCTTGTGCAGTACATGAAGCGTGGCCTGCGCTCCCTGCAGAAGTTGGAATGGTTTTGAGAGGTTGTGGGACTTTTAAGAAGCAGAGCTGGGTGCGGGGGTGCATGCCTGTAATCGCAGCACATGACACGATGAGGCAAGACAATCAGGAGATGGAGGCAAGAGGATAGCAGTGAGTTCGAGGCCAGCCTGAACGACATAGCGAGACCCTGTCTCAAAACACTTTTTTTTTTTTTTAAACAGGGTCTCACTATGTCATTGAGAATGACCTGGAACTCACTATGTAGCCCAGGCTGTAACCAGGTTGGTCTCGAACTCACAGCGATCCTCCTGCCTCAGCCTCCCGAGTGCTGTGATTACAGGCGTGCGCCACCACGCCCGGCTCAAAGCACTTTAAAAAAAAAAAAGCAAGGGCCCCAGAGATTTATCTCAGTGGCCTGCCTTGCAAGTGCAAGGTCCTTAGTTCAATCCCCAGTACCAAAAATGAAAAGGGCAATTAAGCCATGGGGCGTGACCTTCATACATGTATTAACACAGCTCAAGAACAGGGTTACTCTGGTGGGGGTAATACCAGCGTGCCACTTAGCTACAACCTCAGTCCTGTCCCCACTTTTTAAATTTTAATTTGAGGGGCATAATAGAGACTTGCTAATTTGCAATCCTTCTGTCAGCCTCCAGAGTAGCTGAAGTTACAGGCATACACCACCACCCCTGGTCCTTTTTTAAAATTTGAGACAAGATGTCATTATTATGCCCCGGCTGGTTTTGAAATTTAGATCCTCCTACCTCAGCCTCCCAAGTAGCTGGAACTACTGGTGTGCACCACTACACCTAGCAAGGGACTGGGTTAATTCTTCAGAGAGTGATGTAATACTCTTCCTAGGGAACTGGACTAGTTACCACAGAAGCTGGTGCGGCCAGCCCTTGTGTCTTTTCAGCGCATGCTCACTTGCCCTTCTGCTTTTCCACCATATTGTGACAAAGCTCACAAGGCCCCTGCCAGGTGCGGTCAACCAACCTAAGACTTCCCTCCTCTGCGACCATGAGCTGAATAAATCTGTGTCCTTCACACATCACCCAGTCTCAGGAAGCAGGCTGAGTAAGAGGCCTCCCACTCAACCTGAGCTCTAATGAGTCAAATCTCTCTGGCTGGTATCTCTTAGTTTTCATTTTTGTTTTACCCTTCTGAGCTTTTCTCTAACCAATTGGCCAGGTCACTAATGAAAGGCGAAGCCCTGACAATGCCCAGGACAGCAGGCTCTGAGGTGTGAGGCCCGCCCTGAGATCAGGAAACCATGGGGGGAGCCTTTTCTGAGGTTCACTGCGGCAGGGCTTCTCTGGGTATTCAGAAGTGGCCCCGAGAGCCCTGGCTTTGGCATTCCCAAGAGGCACCACCACCCCCAAGTGACACAGACTGGTTAATTTGTGAAAATCGTGGAGTGGCAAAGATAATGGATGCAGGAGGACTATACTGCTTCATTGAAAGTGCAGTGCTGCTCAAATTTTCTTTCTTAAAACCATCTGGTAGGACGAAGAAAAGAATAAAATAAAAAGGCACAAGTCAGTCCTTCAGCATTTGGAACAGAACCTTTGATTCTACCCAGCTCCTGAGCGGAGTCTCCCGCCTTCCCTTCCGCCATATTGGTTCCTCGGCTCTATCCCCCACCACCACACCCCAGACCTGCTCTTGGGTGTGTGACCTGTGTGACCCCATACGGCTGCAAGCTCAGAGGCCCACACACTTGGTTCAAAGCTCTGCCCTGGCTATCTTGAAATTTCCTTAACTTTTGAACGCGAGTTCCCTATTTTCATTTTTCCCTGGGCACCACAAGTCTCATAGTCAGTGTTACCCACACCCTTCCAGTCCAAGTATCTCTCTCTCTTATCCTCAGTTTCTTTGACCTCCAGTTTGTACTCTTCACAAAATCATTTACTATTTCATACAATATAGTGAGAACACTCTATACACGTCTCTCACAGAGCTCAATGAAAATTCAATGTAATGTTTGTCCTTTTTATGCCACAAATGTCACGAACCCAGGCATCCTATGCAGAAATATCCTTGAATATTTGGAGATCGCTGCAGTAAAGAACATTTAGCTCATAAGGAGACATGTCTAGATATTCTCACTAAAGAACTATGAGAAGAAAAGCACGGTCAACCCAAGGGTCACCAAGACTCCAGAAGGGTACAAGCGTTCCCGTCCTGGGAAGCTTCACTTTATGTCTGAAGTTGTGTGGGGCCAAAGTGGCCAGACATTTGGTGAAATACTATTCTGGATATATTCATGTGTCTTTGGCAGGGAGTAATATTCGAATTGGTGGACTGAGCGAAGGAAACTGCCCTTCCTGATGGCCTCATGTGATCAGCTGAAGGACTGCACAGAACAAAAATGATCGCCCTGGTAAAAAGGACCCCTGTCCTCCTGCCACCAGGCATGGAGCTGGAAAGGGGTCTTCTTTTCCTGCTTTTAGACTCGAATTGCGACCTCACTTCTATCATCTCAAGCCTTCCAGCATTCAGACTGGAATTCACACCTCAGCACTCCTGACTGGCAGCCCTGTGGACACAGACTAGGACTGCAGCACTGGCCCTCCTGGGCCATCCCTTTGCCAACTGCAGAACTCCGAGCTGGTCAGCCTCCAACATGACACAGGGCAGTTTTCCTTCACAAGCTTTCTCTATTGCTTCTGTTTCTTAGGGACCATAGCACGTCCCAGTCACTTTCCCCAGAACCTTTCATGAGTCTTCTTCAGCCTTGTCCCTCTATGTGAGACCCATGGGCCGGCACCGATGGCCTCACTAGCATCTGAAACACATGCTCTCAGGCGCTATCTTACACATACCGAGTCTGAACCTACATCTCACCATGTCACAGATGACTCATCTGCATATTGAATGTGAGAAAATGCAAAGCCATCTGGGAAACATAACAATATTAAAAATAGCCTGGTGTGGTAGCATCCAACTAAAATCCCGGTACTCAGGAGGCTGAGGCAGGAGGATCGCCACTTGGGTTACATAGTGAGCTCAAGACCGGCCTGGACTACAAAGTGAGACCCTGTCGCCAATTAATTAATTAAAAATAAATGTTCACACACCAGAGTGTAACTTGGTGGTAGAGCTGTTGTTTAGCATACACAAGGCCCTTAGTTTAATCCCCAGAACTAAAACTAAATGATTTAAAGAATAAATGCTTGATAAAAGAACTTGGGTTTGTTTGTGGAGAAAGGATCCTGCTTTGCAGTTCAGACTGGCCAGACTGCGCTCAAACTCAGCAATCCTCCTGTGTCAGTCTGCTGAGTGCTGGGATTATAGGCATGCACCACCACGGCTGGCAAGAAGGAGGTATTACCTTTTTTTTTCCTCCGTAGCACTGGGGATTAAAGTGAACCCCAAGGCCGCACTTGCCAGCCCCTGAGCTTCATCCCAGTAAGAATTCAAGATTTCTTGTCTGAGGACACTGGAAGCAGGGTAAAAGGGTCTTCGAAAAGGAATGAAGAGGCCAGGAAATTTTCTGAGTAGCGATAAACCTTCAGTTGCGGAAAACAGGCCAGGGAAGCCTCACTACGCGCATACCTAACCCAGGACACCAGCAAGGCCCAGGGGCACGCGGGACCCAGAGGCCGTTCCCGGGCTCAGCAGGACCCGCTCCCCGCAGCTCAGCTCCCCTCCGCGGTTTATTTGCTGTTGTATCTGCACTGGCAGTGTGTAGAGAAGCTCTCCGCTTGGCTGCCAACAGGCTCCGCACTACAGCAGTACTTCTGTAAAATTGGCAGAGACCACGCCACAGGATAGTTCAGAAACTTCAAGGCAAGGGGACAACCAATCAACCAAGCAAAACACAAAACAAACAAAAGAGTACACATGGCTCATGTTGGAGACGCTATGGGCCCCTAAATCATCTATAAAAAGCCAGAGTCGCTCCCCTTCTTCACTGCGGGGCGATGGTGCTGGGGATTTAACCGAGGGCACTGCCACGAAGCTACATCAGCAACTTTCTTTTCTTTTTCTTTCTTTCTGTGTTTTGGGGACAGAGTTTCACTAAGTTACACAGGCTGATCCGGAACTTGTGATCCGCCTGCCTCAGCCTCCTGAGTAGAGTAGCTGGGATTATCTCTGGCCAGAATCACCTTTAAAACAATCAGGGGGCAGCCCTTACAGGCCTCCTCTCTAGATACCCAAAGAACTCACGAACTCATCGTGTCCATAAAGTGGTCCTCTCTGCTCCAGTACATTGCTTAAACAAGAGCAAACCTCACCTTCTCCTTCCTAGGCAGTTCCTGGCCTCACCATCTAGGCAGACAGGAGCAGGCGACAGAAACAAGAGGCGGCTTTCACTGAACCCGTGTTTCGTCCTTTGTCTAATAAATGCCCAAGCTGTCCTAGCTCCACACCTGGCCAGGCCCTCAGGTGTTCCCCTTATGCAGGGAAAGCCAGGGGCTTTCGAACTGGTCCTTCCACCCCACGCGCTCTGAAAAGTCCCCAGGAGGAATGTGATCAACTCTCCTTGTTTCTGCCTTCCCCATTGCTCCCAAACTCACACCCACCAGCAGTGTCTTTCTCTGCTTACGCAGAGCCTGGGTATCACGCCCGTGCCCAAGGCTGGCCCGCTCGCTCTCCAAGGCCGCATCCCCACCCACGTCTTTTCCAGCCCAAGTCCCAGGCGGAGCCCATGCCCTCCTGTTCAGAGGGGCGCAGTCAGCACAGCCCGTGACACCCCATGCAGCTGGCTGCAGGGAGCCAGGCCGAGTCCTGCAGGGCACACCCTCCTCTCCAGCTTCAACCCCCAGCCCAGTGCAGCCCCGGAAAGGGGCAAAGATCCATCCAGTTTGTCGGACTGAGATATGGGACGCAGGACACAAAGGACTGCAGGAGGAAGGCTTGCCTCATATCCGTGGGGAACAGTGCAATTGTTTTAAAGGTATAAACAATGTGCAGTGAGCAGATCAGGGTGCCTGGCAGAACCATCACCTCAGACTCATATTTGTTCACTGGGGACATTTAAAGCCATACCAGCCATTTGAAATTTACCCCATTCGTCACCATCAACCAGTTTCCTTGCAGCGCTGCAGAACATCAGAAGTTACATGTCCTCTCCGATTGCATCTCTGTACCTGGCAACCAGCTTCTCCCTTACCCTTCCCAGCTTCTGGTAACCACTTTGCTACTCATCTTGTTTTAAAAAAGTAAAAAAAAAAATAAGTCAATACACTGTTATTTCAGGAATTTTACATGTAATTCCTTCGATGTCTGTGCAGGTTACCTTAATGAGATTTTTTTTTTTGGTCTTTAAGACACTGCTTTTTAAAGAACTTATGCTTAATCCAGTCATACTGTCTGCCTGGCCGTATGTATGTATGTATGTGTATAT